CACCTTCCCCTCTACCAGGTACTGATAGCTTAGGGGTAAAATCTCTGACATGCCAAATCAGTTGGGTTTTGATCCTGGCTTGAGTAAAGAGGATGTCTAGCCACACTGATGAGCTGTGATACAGCAAAACAGTCTATCTGTGGGTGTTATATATATATGAGACAATCTGGAAAAGTATTTTAATGACAATGCATTTTTCTTCTTTGTGTGCTAGGTTGGCATCTTCTGGTCAGCAGTGACTGCTCTAGGATTGCTGGCACCCCCAGGGCAAGCTAAACTTCGGTGCCCTTACAAGTATAATTTTTTTTAAATTTTCATAGGAAGAAAAACTGAAAATGCAAAATAATAAGTTTATTACAATATACAACTTAATACAAGTTAAAGAAAACATTCATTATCCCACCTAAAACATTTTTCTAGCCTTTAGATATGCCCATCTTTTCATGGCACTTTCTACAACTTTTTCTATTGACAAAATAGCCAAAGAATTTAATGTCTTGAGTAATGGATGGCTGCAAGTATGTTTTTATAAGCTTTAGTTTTGGAAGATCCCAAACACATGACATGGCAGCATGATGGTTACCTTGGCCTTAATGGTGTCCCAGGCAACTGTATGAGTTGCCAGTTCCTTGAGCTGGCTCTGCTGGTAAGAACGAAAGATAAAATTATGTTTTTTGTATTAAGGCCATTAATGTCTACTGGATATGTTATCAATCCACCCTGAGTAGATCTATTATTCTCTCTTTTAGATCAGATACAACATTGTACTGCTATTGTTTTTGTAATAATTGGTGTTATTATGTATGAGCCTGGTCTTAAGTTTATTGTTGAGAATTGTAAGATCAGTGTTGTATCGTGAATGGATAAGTCGATATACATATAAAAAGTAATTTATTCTGAAGAATAATATGGTCAAGAACAGTTAAGAACACAGTCTACCGGAATAACAGTTAATCATGAACTTCACCTCAGTTCTGTTCAACTTCCCCTCTCTCGGTAAGAGAGTGTACTATTTATCTTTTTAGATCAATCCATCTTGTGGGGGTGCTCTGGTACTCCACAACATCCCCTTTTTTGAATTTACTTCTACTTCTGGAAGTTGTATTTTTGTCTTTTTGGGTTTATTTGTATAATCCCTGACAATTTCCTTTTTCTCTCATCTGGTTGGCGGGTGGGGGGTACATTAATATTCCATCACAGATAGAAAAATATTTTCCCCACCATTCTTTTTGTAATGTTGGCTACTAATTTGTTTCTTTTTCTCTGTGATTTACTTGTCTATATTTTCTTTGATCCTGATTTCTTCAAGAGTCATAGGTAATTCTTGTATGGTTTGGCATAGCATGCTTTTTATTTTCATTTCTATTCTTAAAGCTGATATCACAGTTTCCTCTAAAAGATCTTATAGTTTGGGGATTAGCCAGGATAACTCATCTGCAACCTTTTTGATTGAAGGAACCCCATCTTAAAAATATAATTTAATAATATTGTTTCCCATCTTTGAAGTTGATTAGTCGTATGTGTAGGAATCCCTTTTTTGGAACCAAAAATAGACAATAATGGTTGATGGTCTGTTTAAAGTGTAAAACTCTCTCCATGTATGAATATATGGACCTTTTTACTGCAATAATTATCCCTAAAGCCTCTTTTTCAATTTGGTTGTATACTTTTCCAGCTGGCAAAAGGGCTCTTCATGCATATGTGCAATCACTTTTACTTGGCCGTTTCTTTCTTTGTGTAATATTACAGCTCCTAAGCCCAAATTACTAGTGTCATTTGCAACAATAATATCCTTATTTGGATTGTAATATGCTAGACTTAATTCTGACGTTAATATTGTTTTAATTTCCTCAAAAACCCTCAGACATTCCATACACCAGTAAAATTTGGAATATTTTTTTAACAATTTGTTTAGAGGAGCTCTCAATATGTGCATATTTGGGATAAAATTACTGTAGTAATTTGGTAGATCCAAGAATGCTTGTAGTGCTGATATATTTGTTGGGCGCAGCATATTTCTTATTGCACTCAATCTTGATAGGTCTGGTTTTCTGCCTTTCATATCTATAACTTGTCCCAAAGTGTACTTTTCTTTTCACTCTAAATATAAGCGTCATGTTATCTTTCAGTTTGCTTGTCACTTTCACTCAAATTTAGACAAAATTCTCATTCTGATTTTGGCATCCTTTGGTGCTGGCATTCCTTGTACAAAAAACAAACACTTAAACATATCAGGAGTAAATTCTTTCAGCTTAAACTTTTCACACTCCCTATTGACAATCCCAGCAAAAGTCAAGTAATCTTCCCCATTTTTCTATTTTATCATTAATTCATTTTTTAATTTTTCCATTCTGTTTGAATTAACACTGAAACTAAAGCAGAATGAATTAATTGGTTGCTTGAGAAGGTCAAATGACTCAATCCAATTAATACCAAATGGGTTCTGTGTTCATTTCATAAAGAATCCTTTTAATTTTATAGTTTTTCCCATAAATATCACATTTGTGTAAAATTCTCCTTCAAAATTTTGTTCCTGTAATGCTATGAATAATTCTTTTCATGATCAATAAAGTTGGTCTGTCAATTTTTTTCCAAGTTTGTTCACTTATCAATGTCAGATCTGAACCAGTATCCAATTGGAATTTAACATTTTTCTTGTACATCTGTACATTCATAAACCTTCTTATCATTTTTATTCCTTTGTTTTTCGTTGAAGCTGAGTTAATTGTCTTTTCCATTTTTGGCCCCTTTTTACTTTTGGGTTTTCTTCAATGCATATGCTTATGTCTTTTTTGCCACAATTAAAGCATTCTTTTTTTCTAAATGGACATTCCTTGTAATAATGAATCTGTCCACAGCCATAACAAGGATTTATTTTCCCGGAAACATTTTCTTTATGTTGTCTTTGCTTAACTGCCTGAATATTTGACACATTGCATTCCTCTATTTTTGCCATGTTGTGTTGAAGATTTTCTATTCATTTGCATTCTTCTGTGACCGTATGCAGACTGATTTTTGGATTTTGTTCAAATTTAGATAAAATTCTCATTCTGATTTTGGCATCCTTTGGTGCTGGCATTCCTTGTACAAAAAACAAACACTTAAACATATCAGGAGTAAATTCTTTCAGCTTAAACTTTTCACACTCCCTATTGACAATCCCAGCAAAAGTCAAGTAATCTTCCCCATTTTTCTATTTAAGGTTTAAACATTGCCATCTTGTATTGAAAAGAGAACTTTTTCCGCCCCCAGAATTTTTTCCAGAATTAAGTTTCCTTGAAAGACACTTCTTCTGGCTTTCTTGGAAGTAGGTAATTTATATACTTTTTGTGTTCACTTGGACCAAATTTTCTGAGCAACAAACTTTTTTCTTTTCATCTGACCATGCAGCACAATCTTTTTGAAAGACCTCTTCATAACAGTGAAAATATGCTGCAAAAGTTACCTCCTCCTCAGAACTGTAATTAAATTCACCAATTGAATTTATTACCAAATCCTTGCTCTTTTTACTTTTTTAACACTAACAATTCAAACATTTTTTCAAACTCTTTGTTTTGTTTCTCACAGTGTTCCTGGTTCAAATGTTGTTGTTCCTCAAACTGCTCATTTTGTTTCTGCTGGATTCTTATGAATTCGAACATTGCTTCTTTAAAATCTTCCATGTTATTTTATAGAAACAAAATTTAACTGAGTAACCTGACAAAATTCTTGCTTGTTTTTACATGTCCAACTTGGAATAAATCCGCAGTTGAGTAGTTGCCAAATAATTTCTTGCTATATGAATATAAATTTTTACGCACAAATGTGTTGGTAATAACATTCAAATTTTTCTTTGTCAGATGTTGGTATTTGCTGCAAATTTTGAATCCCTCATTGCCAAATGTTGTATTGTGAATGGATAAGTTGATACATATATAAAAAGTAGTAGTAATTTATTCTGCAGAATATGGTACTAAAAGTTCAGAACACAGTCTACTAGAATAGCAGTTAATTGTGAACCTCACCTCAGTTCTGTTTAACTTCCACTCTCTCAGAAAGAGAACATGTTATTTATCTTTTTAGATCAGTCCATCTTGTGGTGTGCTCTGGTACTCCACAACAGACACTCTCAATACATTTTCTTCTTAGTGAATCATTTTCAAACCTGATGAAACTGGCAATTATTAAGTCTAAATTCTCGCCAAATGTGAACTACCAGTGAGTTCAAAGTGTTGTTATGCAGTATATTTCTTTGGTAGTTTACATTGTTAGTTCAATGTTGTCCTGGGTATGACAATGAACTACATCCAGCAACAAGGCCTCTGATCGGGAGATTGAAGGTTTTGAGGAGTGTGGAACTACCTCTTAACTGTTGTAGTTCCCAGGTCCACCCTGATTCAGTGTAGTAGCACCTGTTTGGGTCCCAGCTATGGGCAAATAGTGAACCTCCCCAAACAAAAATCAACAGTACATTTTTATAGTAAAATGATCAACAATACATTTTTATAATAAAATTACCAGTAATATATTTTTTTATTATAAAAAATTACGAACAATGAATTAAAAAAAATATCAACAATGCATTTTATGATCTATAAACTATAAATCTAAAAAACATAGCTTTGCCCTGAAAGTAATTTTGGCATTAAATAACTCATAGAGATTGACATGCTGCTAAACAAAATCAACCAACCAACCAACATTGGTAGTTCAATGTAAAATAGATTTATTATGAAAAATGAAGAAAATTTTGTCTAAATCAATTTTTCAACCTGGGTAGACCCTATTGGCGGAGTATTTTTTGTGTTTAGTGTGATTCAAAAGGTATTCTACACTACAAAGTTGTTTTGTATCCTAACATATAGGATACATATGAAAACATAAAATAGAGTTATACTTTTATATAGAAAAATAGGAATTGTATGTGATGAAATCATGTTGCTCATGAATAAATATGGCAAATATTTTCTACACAAAGACAAATTTATAAACAGCAAAAATACCTTAACAATATTCATAACAAGATTGTAACCAATGCAACTTCGTGGACCTGCACCAAACGTGAAAAGTCTGTTCTGTGTTCGAACTTCACTGCAAATAAAAAGTGTTACAGCTGAATTAATAAAAATTTGATTAACCTGTGCAAAAAAGTAGCCAGAAATAAAAAATAAATGATAAGAGTGAAACATTTATTATTATGATGCTCTCTGGGACTTTATTAATTACTCCCAAGTTTTCAATTCTGATTGGAATCATCTTCAATGGAAGGAACCAGTGGCAAATGTCTTCTTCACAATTCACCAGTTATTATATATTATATTATTATATATTATAATATATCTATTATAATGTATCTATACAATGTAGATCAAGATTATAATATAAATTATAGATGTTTGCTTATAAAAAAGCATGGATCTATAATACATATATTATCTCTGTATATAGAAGTGTTCATATTATACACTAATAGAAAATTAATTTCTTAACATCCTAATTATGTATCTCAATCTACTCATGATTAAACATGCATGTAATATAGCTGGATTATAATAAATGATCAGTACATATATAAATTCCAAAATAAGGTGTGCATCAGCAATACTCTGTCTCCATATTAAAACACTGTTTATCCTCTTTGGGCATTAACACAAGCTGGTATTCTTGCATGCATAAGAGCATAAAGATAGTGAATACAATTCTCCAATACATTATTCTACACTTCTTGTACTTGTTGATACAATACAGCAATTCTTGGGGTAACTAAATGAGTCAGGTGCTGTTTCATCATATCTAATACATTTAATATATTTCTGTGGAAATCTCTTCTGGCTTCTTACTTTCCAGCCAACTTTGATCTTCAAAAATTCTAGTGCAATATCAATCATTATTTTCTGTCTTCTCAATTCCTGTTTTTACTGTTCTCTCTTTTTTAATGTTTTCTTTTTTATATTGTCTTACACACAGTAATCCATTGGATCTTAGTTGCTTTATTGGCTTGCTTGGCATGAAATGATTAAAAAATATGGTCAAAATTGGCATTGTTCTTCAGTGTGTTATAATTTTATTTTCTGTTAGTATTTGTGTGTGTGTGTGTGTGTGTGTATGTGTGTGAAACATGGTATTACTTACTTGTCAAGCCAGCGCTCAGGTTTGAAGATATCTGGTTCCACATAGACATCAGGATCACGATGAGCAGCAAAGGTTAGGAAGACGATAGAATAACCTTCAGGAATTTTGTAGCCATCTATGATGCACTCCTGTTAAAACAATTAAAATAGCACCATTATAAGATTTGTATCATTATTATGTAGAAAATACTAAATCTATTTCTTAACATGCAGTACTATTGGAAATGTATTTTAAATCCTGCTTTTGAAGAAAAATAAATTAGGAGATTTCTTTTTTTTTTTTTTAACCTATCTTAAAAAAATTTTAAATTTTTTAAAGTTTTAATAGCATTTAAAACAAAATTATTTCTGGGTTGATGTTAGCTGTTAATTCTTTGCTTCAATCACTGGGTAATGATTTAAAGAGTTATCCAATTATAAAAATACAATGTGTATATATATATATATATATATATATATATATATATATATATCTTTAATTAAATATGGCAGACAAGGAAAATTTAATTATTTTTTTATTTAATTTTTCCAGTGTCCTTACATTTTACCGTTCTGTGGGAGTAAGGGAGAACAAAGATTTTCTATAATTTTCATTGTTCCAAGTGCTTTTGCCAACTTCTTTAGCCATTTTCAAAATTTTTGTATTTTTTTACTCCCACCAAATGGAAAAGCATAAAGGCACTGGTAAAACTGAAATGAAAAAAAAAATTAATTAAATTTTCTTTGTCTGTCATATTTAATGAAAGATGTTTAAAAGAAAGGTTGCTGCCCATATATATATATATATATATATATATATATATATATTAATGGACTCTCCCATTGGTTTTGACATATGAGGATTTGAGAGCTTAATTGATTCAGTTATGAAATTTTGTGTGATAATCTTAAGTGGCATTTAAGACCCGCTAGTGATTTACAAAGGAGGCCACATATGGAGCAAGAGTGAGTATTGTGGGATGAGATCACTGTTAGACTGGCTGACCTTTTAGATCTTGCTCTCCCTCTCGCTTCTTGAAGATGATTCAGACAAGCAGATAGAAAACTGTTGAGTCTACTAAAATACGTTGATCTCCATTCTACCCACTCCAAGTCTAAGTGCTCAAGGATGCAAATATATATATATATATATATATATATATATATAGGGGAATATGATATATAAATTTTTATATATTAGTACAACGTTAGGTAACTAATGTCTATATTCTTATATTTCCATTCTCCTTCCTACACATGTGATTCTATTAGCAAAAGTTTTAGTTCAATGAAGTCTTGCAGGACAATATGTGTCACACAAAATATTTCAGTGTGATTATTATTTATTGTTTTATTTAAATTTGATAAATGATTAATGTATGTATTAACTTTAAATAATAGAAGGTTTTGATTTAATTGTTTTCTTTTAATTTTAAAAATTTTCTCTGGTCATGTATGTTGGCTTGGGTAAGGAGTATCTCTTAAAGAATATTTTATATATATTGTCTTTTAACAGATATATTTTATTTATATCTGAATGTTTATATATGCATACATATCTCTATATATATTAATGTATATTTGGGCAGCAACCTTTCTTTTAAACACCTTTTGCAAAATATGGTAGACAAGGAAAATTTAATTAATTTTTTATTTATTTTTTTCAATGTTTGTAAATTTTTCTGTTTGGGGGCAATGATATTATGGAAAATTTTTGTACTCCCTTACTTCCACTAAATGGAAAAACATAAGGATGCTGGAAAAACAAAAAAATTAATTAAATTTTTAATGTCTGCATTTTTAATGATATATATATATATATATATATATATATATAGATAATATTAGTGGTAAATATACACATACATATGCAAAATATATAAATATATATATACATAGGTGCATACACATACATGTATATTTTTTGAATAAAAAATTCCAAGAGGATAGAATCCAGGTAGAACTCAATGTCCTGGACAGAGTAAGGATATAATAAAAAGGCTTAAACACTAATATTCCATGGTCATAATTTATTCCATTGGAATCGTAAATACGATCCAATTCATCAGACCTACAAATTCAAAAAGAAAACAGAAAAAAACAACTCTGGAAATAAAAATAGAATTTAGAGAGAGTGTAAGTATGAGAGTGGGGACAAATGTTAGAGCTAAAGAGAGGGGTAACAGACGAGAGAAGGTGAGAGATTAAAACTTAACAGAGAGGTTTTTTTTTATAGAGGTGAGTGGAAGGGGGAAATATGAATGTTGTCGGATGTCTAATACATCAAAGATACATTTCATGGTGACATACACACACCATAGACGATCTAATGTTAAAGATCAGAATAAGAGCTGTCTGTGTGTGTGTGTGTGTATCTCACATATGCATATGCACACAAAAATAAGTGCTGAAAAGTTCCTGGCCTGACCCATTTCTCAATATTAATGCAAATTATCAAAATATCAGATTTTTTCAGAAGAGCCTCATGGTTGGGCTAAGAACTTTTCAGCACTTTCTTGTGTGTGTGTGTGTGTGTATATCAGAGAAAGAAAAATATATGAATATTTATTATTGTGTGTACATAGGATACAGAGATATTTTTTTTTCTATTTTACTAATGTTCATCCAATACAAGACACGGCCCAAGAGTCACTCAAGGTAGAGGGTTACTGTGTAGACTTATATTAGCATAGGAAAGGACAAGTGTTAGGAGTATAGAGCTGAAGCAGTGTTTAGAAGGAACTGGATACCCAATCCTAAACAGGAAACAAGAGATAAACCTCTATTACTCTTCAAAAGACTGGAGAGACATGTGAATTGGACAATAGGTGAACCTATCTATTTTCTATAGAAAATAGCTCTGTTGTATTACATTGGGTACTGTTTTATTAACACCAGAACTATATGTGCAATATATTAAAAGTGGCCATATCAGGCAGACTTTAAGCTAGGTCTTGCAGAGGGCTTTTGATTGAGCCCTTGGCTTGTTCAGGAGTTTGAGAGTCCCTAAGTCTTTGCATATTCTCAGTATTGGGAGTTTTGAGGCTGTTTAATCTGGATTTTCATTTCCACAGGACTTTCTTTTCCTTGCTGCAGCCATGGCTCTTTTGATCTATACTTCTCTGTTGGTGGAGAGATTTCTTTTTGCAATGCATACTGCTGCCAATAGGCAACAATAAATTACAGAAAAAGTCAAAATTGATGGCTGCATCTAAGTATTGCATTAATTTTTAAGCTTCCCTTTTAAAAGTTCAACAATAATTCTTCTGCTGCCACTTAAAGACATTTGATGTGCTTAGGTCCTTACTTTCCATACAAACAATTATTTTTATTTTATGGGTGATATTTGCTGGATTTCACAATTAATTTCAATTATTCCTAAATTTATTTCCAAGTTGTAAAAATTGTTATCGTACAAAAAATTTGTCACAAAAATCATGTAAAAAATCGCTGAATACAATTGTAGTAATGAAAACTTGGGAATCCAAAATTTCTGTAACATAAGATATTGAAAGTTAGAGAGTTGTGTCCCTTTAATTGAAAAAGGGTGACACAGTGATAGACTGACATCTCCACTTATATTCTGGAGAAGAGTTTCTTTTATTAAATATTTTATAAAATTTTGAAACATATCTTATTTGTAAATACCTTTACAAAACAACTGAAACTAATTCATTTACCTTTCTCACCAGTCTGCGTCCCCCCATGAAAGGTGGGAACAGACGCTGAACTTCCATCAAAACTCTTTCTTCTATACTTTTGTCAAAAAACATCTCAGCTTGTAAATCAATCTGCAAAATTAATAAAAAGTGTAGTTTATTTCTAGTTTATATATATATATATATATATATATATTCGTACACATGAAAAATTGTATTTTTATAAATGTAAAAACCTTAACTAAAACAAATTTTGATACATTTTATGTGTAAAGATACATTTTATTAAAAAATAGTAATAAACTTAATTAATTCTTATTCTAACAGAAATTAATCCATTTTTTTCATTTTAACTGATGAAAAAAGTATTCGTACAAAACAAAAAAAGCATATTAACTTCATTTAATACTTTGTGGAATATCCTTTATTGAGTTCAACAGCTACCAGTCTATTCCTGTATGTCTCAACTAATGATTTGCACACATTGAGTGGTATTTTGTCCTGTTCTTGGCATATTGTCTTCAAATTCTTGATATTTGTTAGTGCTCTTTTCCTAATGTGAATTTTCAAATATCGCCATAAATTCTCGATTGGGTTCAAGTCTGGGGACTGGGCCATTGCAAGACATCAACATTACTTTCAGCTAACCATTTCCTTGAAGATCTAGCAGTATGCTTAGGATCATTATCCAGTTGGAAAATCCAAACAGGAGGTAGCTGAAGTCTCTCAACAGAACGCATTAAATTGTTTTGCAGGAATTTCTGGTATCTTTTGGCATTCATCTATTATTGATATTCTGCCAACACCTTTTGCAGAAAAACAGCCCCAGATCATGATACTGCCACCACCAAACTTTACAGTTGGCAACATGTTCTTTGGTAAGTAGGCTTCACCGTCCTTCCTTCACACATGATTTTGATAATTATGACCAAACAACTCTATTTTAGTTTCTTCTGTCCATAGTACTTTTTCCCAAAATGAATATTCTTTATCCTTATGCTCTCTAACGAATTTTAGTCTAGCATCTCTGTGTCATTTCAAGAGGAGTGGAGTCTTCCTTGGGATGCGTGATTTCAGACTGTTTTTGTGTAGTTCATTACTTATTGTACGCTTGGTTACTTTAATCCCTAATGCATGCAGATGTTCCTGCAGCTCTTCTCGGGTAACCTGTGGATTTTGTTGGATCAATGAAGAAAGCAATTGTAGTAAAAGGAATATTGAGGTTGTTAGAAATTGTTCTGTAACTGTTCCCATCTTTCCAAAGAGACAAAATGTGTTGTTTTTGTGAAATAGTCAATTCTTTACCTTTAGGCATTATTAGAACCTTCTCATAAGACTAGAAATTGCAGAATGCTTTGATAATGGCTAATAGCGTTAACTACAATTACTGATAACATTACTGGAACATTCTA